TTTTTGCAGTAAATTTCAGAAGGTAGTGCCCATTCCCTGGAGCTCTCGTTCAGTCTCTGAACATCACATATTATGCCTCATGCTAAACTCTGCAGAGTGGTCATGGTGGTTTACTAATGGGAATTAAATTGGTGCTTGAGGTGTGGGAGGGCAGGTGCACATGGACTCATTGCCTTTAGTGCTACCTCCAAGGGCAAATTCCCTTCGATTTTATCTTCAGACCCAAAGTCCTTTTGCCTCCCAGACCCCTGTTCCCTGCCTCTGACCTCACAGACACTTCAGCTGAGCAGGTCTTTACCCCGTGACCCACCTCCTTCTTCTGCTGCCGCTGTGGCTCCACCACTGATACACACAGCCACCCAGTTGTCTGGATTAGTCCTGCAGCCCTGTCCACACAGTCCATCTCCTTGGCTCTTGGTCTGCAGTGCTCACAGCCACACCAGGGTATCAGTCAGGTGAACAGATGACTGCAGTTAGCTGACATCAGGCACCAGCCCATTGGGGGGTTTTGCCATCTCTCTTGAGGACAGAGACACACCTAACAAGGAGTCCTGGAGTATGAACTGAACACAGATGGCCAGTGTAACTCTTTGTGTCTTACGCACCATCTTTTTCTTTTATCGCTGTTTCTTTCTGAGAAATGTGAGGAATTTTGTTTCGGAAACAGGCAGCGATTGCGTCAGAGAGCATTGCAAGGGCTGGAGAATGAGCTGGAGCATAAAGACAGAACTTCGCAGCACATGGCACTGCTCCAGGCTGCTTGGGCTGAGAGGAGCAGGAAAGAATCCTTGTCAGAAGAAGAGGAGAAGAGGAAGGCGAGTCAGAGGCTGCAGTTCCTAAAGACACAGCGTTTGCAGAGAGAGGCGTTACAGGCAGAACGCAATGAAAGGAGCTTTGAGCAAGAGAAAGAGAGGCAGGTAAGGGCAATTCCCACAATGCTTTTCCTGTACTGCTGTGTTTCCAGCTGTGGCATCATCCAGAGTACTTTCACCTGTTTTATATCCAATATAATTTAAAGATCAATAAATGAAGAGTAACATTCTTTTGACATGTCTAAAGATGAAAGATGAAAATAAAATTCTCCATCTCTGCCACAGAAGGAATCATTCTGAATGCAAGGAATTAATTTCCATAGACTTTAGCTATTTCTGACTTCTGCCAGTTATAATTGCAGATGAAATTCAGCATGAAAGCTGGCTGTAGCACTGCAAATGTATTTCTTTTTGTGTAGAATGTTCTCAGGAGCAGAATGCAGTCACGGCAGGAAATGCTGGAACAAAAATCACAGGAGCAGGAGAGGCAGCAAAAACGGCACCAGGTTGCCAAAGGGAAAGTGTTCCAAACCAGAGGCCATTCACTCCAGAAGATGGAAAGAGAAGAGCAGAAACTCTGTGAACTTCAGCAGTACCTCAGAGAACAGAGTCTTCTGATGCTTCGGGCATCACTGCTAGCGTAAAGAAGCTGCAGAGTAGGTAAGCAGGTCCTTGAGCTGTTCAGACCTGATCTGTGTCTTTTAGGTGTAAGTCACTGTGCTGGAGCTTGGGTGCTTGAGTGCAGTTGTGAGAAGTGGAATTGATTAAGGGTTAAATTTTCTAAGACCTATATGACGCTATAGAGTAGAATCTGTTAATGCATATGTATATTTTAAGGAAATAAATATGTACTGCTTTTGTCCATGGGTGCGCGTGTTTGGAAGAGTGATCCCCTGCGCACCCAGCTCTGCAATAAATACCTACCTGCTTTGGAGCTACACAGGGACAGTAGGTGGAGACAAGCTGCCACTTTCCAGCCTTGCCTGCTGGAGCAGTGAGTTGAAACAATTGGGTACCTTCTAGTCCCGGTGCAGATACAGGGATTAGGGGCGACTGGGTACTCCCTAAATGTACCTGGAATTTTGTTGCCTGGGAAACATACCCAAGACCACTTCTGCTCAGATTACAAGCCCACTCTGAAAGTTGCCAGTGATCACCTGACTGTGGCAACAATCAGAAAATAGTGCCCAAAGTCAATCAACTTGTGACCCTATGAATATCAGTCCTGAAGTGGCTATCGGTTGTATTTGATCTTAAAGGTCTTTACCAACCAAAATGATTCTGTGTGAGACCCTTCAGAGCTTTCCAGGATCACAGCAAACTGCTACCCTGTGTCTCACAAAGGAACTTGCTCTATCTGATGGAAAAGAGTGAGTAGCCTGCTACTTCTCATTTTGCAGCAAATAGTTCCAATTATAGTAATTTACTATAATTCCATCTCACAGATCAATCAGATGGGTATTTCACTGCAAATTCTTTTTGTGCAGTTTGATGGTCAGAAGATACCAACATTTAAGAGCTTAACATAAGTTAACCTCTGTATCTGTATGTGTGTATGTGAGCCATTTAGTTTAGAAACGGTTACATTTTTATTGAACTACTGTATTTGATTGAAGAAATTGTTGATTAAATATTACCAGAAAATAATCTAATCCAATGTTGTGATTTATTATAATAGTGTAAATCAGTCTCAGTCTGTTGTTATTCCAAATCCCACCAAACCCCTAATTATGTGTTAAAGAACTACACTGAGCCCCCTACACCTAAACTGGGGACTATGAGTGGATCCAGCTTCACACAGACTCCTCTCTGAGCAAGGTGGTCCACTCTGAAGTTTGTGACTCAATGGGAGTCACATCTCTTCAAGGTCAAGGCCCACATAAAATAGGAAGTGTAGTTACATAAAGCTGTCATATGACTTACCTAGCTGTGTTCACATTACATGAAATATGGGGAGGGAGAGCTGGACACCAGCTGGATGTTAAAAAAAAAAAAAAGAACCACAAAACAACTCTGCAGCAGTGAAAATGTACATGCTGAAATGCAATGTAAAGTATCCACTACAGGTTCCGTTATTAAAAACTGACTCTTGCAAGTGTCCCACTGCATTTGAGTTGCAGAGCTCTACAGAGAAATCCCCAAACATATAACAAAGTCATGCTACCCCCATTCGGGGCAGGGGAGAAGCCAGTTGCTTGTCCACTGGAATGGCTGACACCACAGGCCTCATTAAGGAAAGTCAGTAATGCACGTGGTACATCAGGGGAGTCAGGAGCAAGTTTCATTGTGGACTCCAGGTGGCCTGAATGGGGAACTCTTCTCCCGATATAGCACTACTGGCTGTTTCATGCACAGTTTGTTCATTTGTCCTCACACCATTGTAATTTATTCATGGTGAACAGAAAGTCTGTTTAGTCTGACCAGGCACTCTAGCTGCAGCCCTACCCCAGGCCTTCGGAGCCTGCCGGGCTGAAAGTGAGATCATAGGCAAAACAGACACCCCCCAGGCCCACCACTGGGTTTGGTGGTTCTTCAAAGCCAGGACTGCAGAGAAACAGCTGTTTTTCTCATCACAATGCCTAGAAAGGGTGGCTTGTCACAAGAAAAATTCCTTTTTACATTCCTTTGCGTGGCCCTGCCCAAGAGCTGCCTAACTAATGGGGTGAAAATGGGAGGGGGAATGACACAACTGAGAGAAAGTGGGTGCTGGCAGCATGTGAAGATTCTCTTGAATAGAACTTTTGAGGGTTGCTTGCTTTTATTCTTTTTTGAGTTATCTTTTACACAAAATCATGTGCTAGTTAGGACAACAGTGTTCCTAGTTATGAGTTCAAGTCTGCCCCAGCTTGTCAGAACAAGCCTAAACTTAGATATTCAACTGTACTGCTGCTTTCACCCTTAAGCATTTGGAAATTGAATATGTAATGATTAAGGAAAAGTACATTAAGTATATTGAGCAGAGGCTCAACTTATTGTTCAGACTTCATTTATATATCCTTAATCATTATTTTATAATCACCATAAAACAACAGATGGTATGCTTGTGAACTTTCTCTTCATTGCTTAACCATTTGAAAGCAGACCACCACAGACACCGTGTGCTGCTGCCATTTCACATACAGTGTATCTGGTAACACATTTCGTGTTACAGTATTTCCAATCATTCACACACACACTACTTCTCACTATAAAAATACAGCCTTAATTTTAATACTACTATTAAACTAACAGCCTGTAAAAGATATGTACGATCTAGCTCTTTTGCTGGCTTTATTTAAAAGTTCACAATGTGCTTTTCCATCCATTAGGAAAAGGCTTGGACCCCTTGTTTTACAAACTACTGGAAGCAAAACTCAAGCATTTGCACATCAGTTAATGTTTTGAGTTGACTAGAGGAGCAAGGGGAGGGTGGTAGGAAGGAATTGGAGGGAAAAAAGACTTTTTTAAGGTTCAAAAAAACAACAGCTAAGACCAGTACATATATCTGCAAAAGTTGTTTTTATTATGGAATTAGCTTTTCTGCCTAGACAAATATTTTCTTTTGCTGTTTATAATCCAAACTTCTACAGTATTGTGCTAGGGTATAGAAGTTTGAAAAATCAGATTGACTCTTCTCTTTTTATCATCCAAAATGTGCAGGATCTCAGGACTCTTCTACAATAAAAGTAGAAGTAGAAAGTAAAAAAAAAACCCAAAAATTTTATTGGCTTTTTTCAGCTTGAATGAGTTGCTTCAGTGGTGTTAGAACATAATTTCTCCCACACAGTGACAGGTAAGTCAGTACATTAACTTCAAATATTTAACTGTATAAGTTTCAAAATGGTCTTGATCAATTAACATTTTAAAAATACTTTTAGACAAGACTGCTTTTCTCATCAGGCTGCAGTGATCTTGTGCACCTAAACTACATGATACGTCAGTTTAAAAACTACTAGAGCACATTAGCTCATAGAACTGTGTAATAGTCAGAACTCTCCAACTGTGCAAAGTCATACTGGTTTGAACAGACCTTCTATCATCCCATACCTAGTGCTTGGCTGAAATGACTGAAGGTAGCATTAATGGAGAGTAACCCATTGCATGGCCCTTCCGAGATACACGTGACTTCTCACCTTCAGCTTCTTTCTCCATCAGCTCACCAACAGCATAGGTAACCCTGCACAGTGAGAGGAGAACAGCCACAAGAGTCTATTCGAGGACAGAAGCTGCTGTTTTGATGAGCAATGGTTTAGCTGCCTCTAGGATGTCCAGTTCAGGGTCCAGTGAACGACCAAGACCTTCCAGAACCATGATGGCAAAGATGATAGAAGCAAAATTGCTCTCAAGCTTCACCTAGAACCACAGGAGACTCATTGGACTCAGCAGACCATTTTTTCCTTCTGAGCCCATTCCACAGAGGTATCAGCTCTAGCTAAACTGAGAGGGAAGGGAAGAGGCTGGGGAGAGCATACACACATCTTAAACTACACTGCAACTCTATCACTTGGAGTTTCAAAACACACTGGAATCCAGCAGCAGCCCCAAAACTAAGGTGATAGTTTCAGGGTGAGTGTCCTAAGGGAACTCAAGAATTTGTTTTTCAATTCCAAGAAGGGGAAAGGGACTTTTTTTTTTCCATACTGGAATAGCCAGAGCTTAGGAGTGCTCACCATTGCTAGTGTAGTTATAAGCTGCAGTAGTATCCAGTATACTTGAACACATGCCAGGGGGAGATCATCTTCTGAACAGCCACTAAAGACTCTCACAGATCACAGAGGAAACATTCTTCTGCTCTGCATGTGAACAAACTACTCCCCAATTTCCTGCCAGGTAAAAGGACTGTTTCAGGGCAAGCCAGAGCATTAAGAATTTGTGGAGTTGGGGGGACTTGCTTTATAAGGGCCTAAATTATATTTCATGTAATTAGGAACTAGCTTGATGAGGCTTAATAACAAAAAGCTCTAAGGGATGTTTAGGGGGGCGACCCTTCGCAGGCAGGACAGTCCAGTGGCTGACTTAACCCTCTCGTCTGTTCTAGGTCAGGCCACCAGAGCTCCTTTGATTTCCAAGGTTGTCTGCAACCTATGGAAGATTGCCGCCCAAATACCATCAGTTACAAGAAGTAATCTCTGTTCTGTGAGCAACTCCTCATTTTGAGGCCTTCAACAAATGAGTAAAACGGCCTAGTGCTGCAACATAACCACATATCAAGAGGCCCAGGGGAGAAAGCATGCAAAGATTTACAAGTGGAACATAGATTTCATTTTCTGCTTCTCAGAAACTGTAAAGATAGGAAAAACTACTAAAAAACATCAACCATTCAATGGAGTATTAAGACACAAACCAACAAAACAGCAATTGGTCTTGGGAGGGTGCATATCAAGGCCTGAGATATAGTGTGCAAGCAACACCTGG